CCCTGCTCCTGCCGCCCTTCTGGCCTACCCAGGCATGAAACGATGCGCAGCAGTTAAAAATATTTAAAAATGTGGAGTGCGACGCAGGCAACAAAAAACTGTGCGTATGTGTACCTTTTTAGTGGGGGTAGCTCAGCCCTCAGCCCCCTAGCCCCTACTCCCTGCCTGATTGGGGAGGCAGAGGAGTGATGGGCGTCGACGTCGCAGCCAGCAGCACTCTTGGTTAATTGCCAAAAACAACTGCACACGTCTGCTCTGTGTGTGTGTGTGTGTGTGGTAGCCATGGCATGTGGTATGTGGCATGTGGCAAATGCTGCAAACAAGAAATTTGTAGAGAAGCCTTGCCCGAGTCGATCCTGCAGCACAGCTGACACAGTTTAGACGACCTATCATAGTTCGCATTGCACAGAGCCGATCAAAAAATAGTAATAAGAAAAGCTGAGAGTGCTCCAGGGAGTGCACGACTAGGAGATACCCTGAAGTGAACTTGAATTCGTTTGATATAAACAGTCAATTGTTTGACTATCAGGGAAAGCTGGGAAAAAGATCAGCTCGTACTACGTATGATCTGCAGGAGATCTTTGAAAGATACGGACGGTCAGACGGAAATAGCTAGCATACACGACCACCCCGCTACTCGGAATGCCGTATGATATACTGGAATATAGTATAACTGTTTAAAATTAAGATTTCTTAGCTTGAATAGTTCTCGAGATTTGAGGTCATATTGATGGCACCCCCAATCACCGCTTATATACCCAACATTCAAATCAGGGCATTGCAGAGTATGTTACAAAAAAGAAAAAAAGCTAGATCTGTCGAGAAAAAGCCAAATTGCCAACACTACTCGAAATAGATCACCTGCAATTGGAGCCTGTTTTTGGCTTTTAGCTCTTCGCTAGTTGTCTGTTCTCTCTTTGTTTGCTTCGTTCTCGCTGCTGCTTCTTCTTCTGCTGCTGCTGCTGCTGCTGCCGCCGTTCGCAAAAGAGAATGAAAAAACGAAAAGTTTTTTCTAATTCGCATTTATGTTTAATTTGGTGGCTGCTTTCGTTCTGTCTCGCTTGCTGCCACGCAGAGCTCGTAACCCCAGCCCGAAAGGGGGGTCGGAGGGAGGCATGGTCCCGCCCCCGCTCAGTCCATTTCTAATTTTGTGAAGCGTTCGTTGTGAGCCTCTTTTTTTAATGGGGTGCTTTATGACAAACTTTCAACTCGCGCGCCACACACCCACACACACACACACACACACATGGCACATGTCTGTACATGTATGTACGTGTGTGTGTGTGCTCAAAAAAAAGTAGAAGTAGCCCAGCACACGCGGTGCTCTCTGCTATCTTCCTCTGTCTCTGTCTGTGTGTCAGTATGTGTGTGTGTATGTGTGTGCTTGTGTGTGTGTGTGTGGAGGTAGTAATGTCGCCTTTACAATGGGCAAGGAAGGATCCACGCAAATTTCTAACACCGCCCACTAATGCCAAATGTGTGTATGCGACTACATATGTGTGTGTGCGTGTGCACATACAACACACATATACCAGTTGGCCCCCTTACCCCTCCCCCACGCTCCAGTCATGTAAATTGTTTGTGTGCGCGTGTCTGCGGAGTAATTTTTTAACTAATTTTCTATACAAATTTTTAGCATGTCGCTGGGGTCGTCGTGTGAGTGCACACACACACACAAACACACACACACACATATATATTTATATATATAA